GGGCGAGGGAGGGGGGGAATATCCCCCTCCCTCAACCTGCCGGCCACACTGCTTTGGATACAGCCTACGGAATGTAGGGGGACAGACGGGGCAACCTTCACAGGACGGTAGCGGGTTGCCTAATGGTGCTACTGGAGCACTGCTGATGTGAGCCGTCGTGTGTTCACGTGTGAAACGGGTGGGTTTATTTCTTTGCATTTAGGGACAGCTGTACGTCGTGGGTGGCTCAAATGGTCACTCGGATGACTTGAGCTGTGGAGAAATGTATGAACCAGAAATCGATGACTGGACTCCTGTTCCAGAACTGAGAACCAATCGCTGCAATGCAGGTAATGCACCTGCAGCTGACTGACCGCTGCTTCTGTGGGAGCGTACTGGCTTTTTTGCTTTCTCGACTCCCTACACGAATAGGGGTGTGTGCCCTGAATGGAAAACTGTACATCGTTGGTGGTTCAGATCCTTATGGCCAGAAGGGACTGAAGAACTGTGACGTGTTTGATCCTGTAACAAAGTCTTGGACGAACTGTGCTCCCCTCAATATCCGTAAGTTTGCTGTGTCGTTTGGGAGGGAGAGGGGGAAAAGGGCGATTACAACACTCAAACCCAATTAAAAAACCCTGAAAGATTCCAATTTCAGCTGCTGTGGCAGATGTTAGAGCACAACTTTGGTGCTGGGCTGTAATTCCCGGTGTTCAATTGCAGGGAGACATCAGTCTGCAGTGTGTGAGCTGGGTGGATACTTATACATCATTGGGGGAGCGGAATCCTGGAACTGCCTGAACAGCGTGGAGCGTTACAATCCAGAGAACAACACTTGGACGCTGATCGCGCCCATGAACGTGGCTCGACGAGGAGCTGGAGTGGCTGTTCATGACGGTAGGCTTCGCAACCTCTTCTGCTTGATGAATTTTTCATGTTTATAGAATCCTAGAACGGTTTGGGTTGGAAGGGACCTGAAAGACCATCTAGTTCCAACCCTCCTGCCATGGGCAGGGACACCTTCCACTAGACCAGGTTGCTCCAAGCCTTATCCAGCCTGGCCTTGAACACTTCCAGGGATGGGGCATCCACAGCTTCTCTGGGCAACCTGTGCCAGTGCCTCACCACCCTCTCGGGAAGAACTTCTTCCTGATATCCAATCTAAACCTCCCCTCTTTCAATTTAAACCCGTTAACCCTTGTCCTGTCACTACAGGCCCTTGTAAGAAGTCCCTCCCAGCTTCCTTGTAGCCCCTTCAGGTCCTGGAAGGTGCTATAAGGTCTCCCCGGAGCCTTCTCTTCTCCAGGCTGAACAAGCCCAACTCTCTCAGCCTGTCCCCATGGCAGAGGGGCTCCAGCCCTCAGAGCATCTTCGTGGCCTCCTCTGGACTCGCTCCAACTGGTCTATATCCTTCTGATGTTGAGGGCTCCACAGCTGGATGCAGAACTCCAGGTGGGGTCTCACGAGAGCAGAGTAGAGGGGCAGAATCCCCCCCTCGCCCTGCTGGCCACACTCCTTAAGCTGTGATGCAAGTAGAATACAAAGCTGTGTGCTTGCCCAGGGAGGAGACAGAACAGCAAGAACCTGGCTGTGCCTCCAGTTTGATTAAGAGCTGTAACCAGAGAAAAATAAAACAAACCAGACTGGTTTTTGTTTTGGGGTGTTCCTCCCCCTTTTCAAAGCATCACCATGCAGGCTCAGCAGCTGCATCTCTCCGAGTTCGCGCTCACGCTGCAGTAACCTCCTGTCAGCTCTAATGATCCAGAGACCCAGAGCAGGCGAACGCTGTAGCTTGAGCAGGACCTTGAATAAGGCAGAGGTTTCTGAGAAAACCCTTTGGGTTGTCTCCCCGAAAGGAGGCTGCTGGGTGACGCAGCTGGTGCTTAGCAGTGAAACATCCCCTTTGTCTCCTTCGTTAGGCAAACTCTTCGTTGGCGGCGGCTTTGATGGCTCTCATGCGGTGAGCTGCGTGGAGATGTACGACCCTGGGAAGAACGAGTGGAAGATGATGGGAAGCATGACCACGCCGAGAAGCAACGCCGGCATTACGACGGTGGCAAACACTATCTATGCAGTTGGGGGATTTGATGGCAACGAGTTCTTGAACACAGTCGAAGTCTACAATCCAGAGTCAAACGAATGGAGCCCCTACACAAAACTTTACAAGTTTTAACAATTAAATTTCCTTTCAAACTAACAGGCTTAGTGATGTAACTGTGGTTTCGTGGAGGTCTACACGTGAACAGGGTCAGGGAGGGCACAGATGTTGCCAACAGCAACACGGAGCTTTTGCATATTGCATATTAATGTGCTGTACATATTTGTTTTGGAAAGAATATCGAGATGGAGGGGGGGCTTTGTATTTTAGAACTTGTTTTAGGGTTTTTTTGGTGGTGGGTTTAGTGGTTGGTTTTGGGTTTTTTTTTCCTTAAGATTTTGAATATAACGTGAGAGAAACCAGACTGGGCATATCATTTCAGAAGCTTCCCCCATTGTCGTTTTGTTACTTTGCACATCGAATGACTTTGGTAGCATGTTTTCTCGGGGCAGGAAGTGTAAGGTTGATGGGGGATCTTTTTTTCCATCAGGCCTTGTTTTCCTTCAGTAACTGGAACAGTCTGTAACAAGAAGCCTTATTTAAATAGATATAATGGCTATTTTTTTTAATTAAAAAACGCTGACATGCCTGCCAATACCTTATCTTTTATGATTGCCTTTTTATAGCAGTTTTTATATACGCGGTGGAGTGTTTAATCTGGTGACATGAAAATGGCAGACAAACGGCTGTGGAAGCGAAGAGACAACCTTGGAGTTGGTAGAGACGGAGTGGGAGAAGGACTCGACCACTGTAGGTGAGCTGAGCTTTCGCCTCTGCCACAGCACCGTGACTTGGCGCGCCCCACCTTCCTGAACAGAACGTAGCTGTGACCTCCCAGGGTGGGAGTGCTGTTGGCTCCAGCTCTTCTGACAGCAGTTTTGTTACTAGGGGTGAGCTAACCTTTGAGCAAAACCTTCGGGGGGGCGGGGCGGGGTTTCTCCTGGTTTTTAAACTCTTGCCAGTTGGCAAAGAAAATGTATTCACCTGCGTAGTAACAGTCCTAAGTTTGTTTTTCTAATACTGCAGGCTGAGCGTGTGGTAGGGACACGAGTAACTTGATTTCGCACGTGCTCGTAGTACTGTGTTTTAGCTCACTTCCTCTGTTTGTCTGGATAAAATGTTGGTGAGGATGATGTGGTGTCCAACGTGTAGTGCTGCACATCTAACTCCTGTGCCAAAACGAGCACTGACTGCTTGCTGCCGATGCAAACGCATTAAAGGTACCTTTTGGGAAATCCTTGCACCACAGGATTGCTGCGATGTGTCTTTGTGTCCTTTCTGTGGCCAGACGACTGACATCAAACCGGTATTGCTAGTCGGTGTAGGTTTAACACAAAGCAGGGTCTCTCACTGACCCCCAGCCAGCTCAAAGCGGGGCTGAGCAGAAACAGCTCAGAGTTGGGTGCGTTGGGGAAGTACGAAGCAGCTGGCTTCAGCCATGTCTGTCCCTCTCTTCCCCTGCCCTGTGTCAGAAGTAGATGGGAGCTAAATCTACTCTGTCCCACGCGCCCTCTGTCGCAGTCTCCTCCGTTTACGCTGCGAAGTGCCAGCGGGAGCTTGTTGGCGCGGGATGTCCAGCGCTCGAGCGGAAACAGCCCTTCACTGAGCTGTGCTCCGCCGCATCGCGGTAACTCGGCCTCCAGCCATCGGGGCAGGAGCCAAGCTCGCAGCCCCAGCACGTGGGCAAAGCAGGAGCAGAGCTACTGGAAGTGACACGGCTGTGCAGAATGAACTCCTGTTTACTAGAACCGTAAAGATTTTGACAGTAAAGATTTTACAAATACATCCCAAAGTAGTATCAAAACAAACAGCTCTATTCGCTGCCAGTCACCCCCTCCCTGTACAGAGATGTGCGCAGAAGAGGCACCCTTAAAGGCCACGGCAGCAGTGACAATGGCTTTAGAAAGTTTGGAACATAACAGCTGTGCTCAGAGATGGCACTGGGGAGTGGGGATGAGATGAGCCACGGAGGGAGAAGCTGCTCCGGCCTTTACAAGGAAAGATGGCAGAAGAGAAGGATGAGGAGTTTCCCAAAGCAGCGTTGCCAGCAGGTTCCTGCTGTATGAAGATTCATTAAGTAGGTGTTGGAACAAAACCAGCCCTTTCCTCTGAAGGGAGGTCAGGACAAGCACCTGCACGAGGGCAGGGGTTTTGTATTTTAGAACAACCAGCATCCATCCATCCCTTTCCCCACTCCACATCCTCTCTTAAGCCTTACGCAGGACGCGTAGACTGCAGCTGTGTTAGTCCTGCATCTCTGCAGGGGTCCCAGCTGTACTCGGCTGCTTTTTGTCCTGACCCCCCGCCACGCGGTACGTTCTCTCGCCGCGTGCCGGCAGAGCCTACGCCCTACGGGGGTTTTCCTACCTGGCCGCTGACAGGCCTAGCCCCGCCAGGAACGGGGATGCAGAAGAGCAGCCCAGCACGGGCCGTGTACCGAGCCAGCTGTGCCCGTCCAGGGACCCTCCCTTGAGCCTGACACTTCCATCAGCTCGGCTCCCCACAGCAATTCCAACAGTTCATGTGTGAATGTAACTAGCGGGGTCGTTGTCCTTCAACTCGGACAGAAAACAGCACCACTGAGAGAAAGAGTGGCAGGTTTTGGGTTCCTCACATTTCCCCCCGCAGGGGAGGCGTTAGGCTTCCCACGGACCCAGAAAAGGCCGGGGGCGAGTGCTGCAGCTCCAGCGCAGGTGTCACAGC